AATATATTATAAGTATAATATAATAATAGAGAAATCATATTATTTAATTAGTATTGATCAATAATTAATTTGGAATTAATTTAGTGATCAAAAGACACTAATTAAATATACGGGGACTGATTAAGTAAATCAATGATTCTTATAGTGTGGGTCAAAGATCCATGGTTAATTAGGATGGGAGAAACCAATATGGATAGTCCATGGAGGTTTAACCCATGGAGCCTAAGTAATATGAAAGGTCATGGTGCATTAGGGTTTGGATGGATGTAACCCTAGCAATTGTAACACTATAAAAGGACACCCCTAGAGCCAAAATCGGTTGCCACATTATTCTAAGAGTCTGATAATCGATTTTGAGCTAACTAGCTTATTCTCTCAAGCCTCCTCTTGCATTTGCTGTTTGTGACACATTAGAGGCATCACACTTGAGGTGTTAAAGCTTTCAAAGGCCAAGAACTTCAAACTACATAAGAGGTATTCATCAAACTATGAGTTTTATATTGTATATCCTCTAGTGTATGCTAGTTAGGATGTATGCTTTGGAAAATTGAAAATGCGTGTATAATTAGAGAAAACATAGATCCAAAGCATCTAGGGTTGCATGTACACCATAAGAGTGTTATAGTGCTTAAAACCCCAATAATGTATCAGAGCCTAGGATTGTTTTCTGTTATATTTTTGATGCTTGCAATTTTTCAAAGTTGAAAAAATCGATTTTCTGGCCTCTGACTGATGAACTCGCCGAGTCCACTGGCTGACTCGACGAGTCCACTCAGTAAAAGGGCAACTCGACGAGTCATGATCATGCACTCGTCGAGTAGATGGTTCTGGTTGCAGAATTTCGAGTTTTTGGCCAGAATTGGACTAGGATCATTACCACAAACTGTTTTGTAATCATAAAAAATGTATTTTCTGATATTAGTAAGTGATGATCCTCGTCATTAAAGGACAATTGGTCAAATTTTAAGATAATAAAGATATTATTTTTGTTATTGCTATGAATTGTCTTGCTATAGTTAGATTCGATCAATAGTGAAATTATATGATAATGTTCTTAGTTAAAATTGATCTAAAGTTGTTCTTGAAATGAGTTTTTGTAACTTGTCCTCAAGTTATGTGAAGAGTCTCATTCAAGAACATTAAAACTTATAAGTTTTCATATGGAAACCAAAAGTCTTGAAAGTTACAAAACTTGCCCTCAAGTTTTGGAATTTGTAAAGTCTCACTAATGAAACATTTAATTCCAAACCTTAGAATTTTAAAAGTTTAAATTCAACCATTATACTATTATAATATTAAAAGTTTAATAATAATATATATATATATATATATATATATATATATATATATAAGATAAGACAAGTCAGTCTTACCATTAGTAGGCCTCATTCACGAAGCCAGCCTATAAGGGGGTATAAGGTTACTGCCTATAAAATGGTGGTTTAATGGGTGTCCACTCTCACCCACCGCTTCCTTGACTGGTGGAGGGTCGTTAGCCGAACGGGTAGGATAAGACATTAATTCTCGTTATAAGTATAATGATAATTATAAAGTAAATAAACTTTTATTAAATTCCCAATCTTAGTTACTTTAGGAAAAATGTGAACATGGTGCTATCCATGAAATTGCACTTTGCACATTGCTAAGTCGTTAGTGGAGCGTGTGTGGTTAATCGACACACTAATCCGGGACTGGCAAGAGTGGCAAAGGGTAGCTTGATGTAAATCATAGATCAATGGAGCGTGTGTGGTTAACCATCATATTGATTAGGTGATTTGTAACATTAAGAGTACTAAACACATTTTCATGGTTATTCACACCTTGTTTGTGATCCTCGGCATCCCAGTCACAAACTTGAAAGGCACAATCGAGATTTAAACATGTCATTGAAAAGTTCAATGAATCTCAAAAGAATCTAGGAATTTCAATCCAATTAAAACTTAATATTCAATTTCGTTTTTCATAGTGGAAATTGGTAAATCGTCATTTACCTACCTTAAAATATTTTGCAATTGGATTACGGCATCCCTCTTCTGAATTGTAAAATATGGTATTGGGTCCTAGCTTTAATATTTCATTTGGGTGTGATATTAAGGATTCTCATCTAATCTAAACTTTGTTCTTATTTCTTTTCAGATGTTTATCCCAAACAATGCTTCAGGTTCAAACCCTTCTAGCTCATTCTCCTTCATGAATTTGGTTGGGAGAACTATCTTCGATGGGTCAAACTTTAACGATTGGATAAGAAACATTCATATGGCCCTTCGCTATGAGGACAAAGAATGTGTCCTAGATAAAGAGCTGAAGGAGATTGATGAACAAACTGCTACTCCCGAACAAATCGAGGAATACAGGGTTCATGAGAGGCACGCGACAAAGGTGTCGTGTATTATGATTGCTACCATGACTGTCAAGCTTCAAAAGTCCTATGAGGACTTCTGGCCCTTCGAAATGCACCAAGATTTGATGGAAAGGTACCATCAAAGTGCTCGGCAGGAGAGGTATGAGATCATTACCTCCATGATCACAACCAAATTGAAGGATAAAGAGTCCATCACGGCCCACTTGCAAAAGATGCAGAGATATGTAGACCACTTGCTGAAGTTATATGTCAACTTCGATGAAGAGTTGGCCATTGACATCATCCTACATTCGTTATCTTCTTGTTATGATCAGTTCAAAATGACCTATCATATGAACAAGGAGGAGGTCACTCTTATCAAGCTTCAAGGCCTTCTAAGAACTGTAGAAAGCAACTTGAAAGGCAAGTCGGTTGTACCTACTCCTACTCCCACTGCCCCTGTTCTGGCAATTAGACATAGGAAAGGGAAGAAGAGGTAGGCTCCTTCTAAGAGCCGTAAGGGAAAGTCTCTTTATGGATCCTCTTCCAGTGGGACCAAAGCTGGTTCTGCTAATCCCTCTACCAATCCAAAGGATGCAGAGTGCTTCCATTGTCATGAAAAAGGGCACTGGATCGAAGCTTCCCCAAATACTTGCAGGATATTAAGGATGGGAAGATAAAGCCCACCTTCGCAGGTATTTACACTATTCTTTCTAATAACTCATCACATGCTAATTCTTGGGTCCTTGATACAGGTTGTGGATTTCACATTTGTTCTGATGTGCAGAGACTAAAAGGAAGTAAGGATGTGGAGCACGGGAAGATAAACTTAATCATGGGAAATAGGAAAATTTCGACTGTCACCAAGATTGGAGTTTATTCTTTATTGCTTAGTAGTGGGTTAGAGTTAGAATTGAATAATTGTTGTTACCACTACTAGAAAACAGCCCTTTAATGACGCGCAAACAATGACACGCGGTGATTTACGATACGCAAAAGCGTGTGCCCTAAAAATAATGTTATCTATTCTAAAATTTGAAGGATAGAGGACATGCTTTTGTGTGTGCCCTAAAATTAATGTCCAACAAAAAAATTAAAAACACGGAGGGCACTTATTTAAAAATGGGTGTCGTCTAGAAATGTCGCTTTTTTTTAATGAAAGGCGCGTTCTCTTCTTTTGCAGCTGGGGGGAAACGAAAATCCCAAAAGTTTGAAAGGCCGTCATTGTTATCCTCTACCTTATTTCCATCTTTATTTTCTATCTTTCTCTCTCTCTCTCTCTCTATATATATATATATATATATATATATATATATACTATATATATATATATAATATATATATATATATACCATAATATCATCACCAATCTATTAATTTCTGTTGATTTTATTTAGTTCTACTATTGATGGGTTGTACAGTCGCCGAAAGCGGGCCAACGATATGTTGCCTAATGGTTTCAAACACCTACCTGAGAGACTATTGTGTAATTAATGTAATTTTGTTCAGATTAAGAGGTTTCACAGCTACTCGGGTGTTACAACTCAATTAAGGAGTTTATTTTTCCTTATAAGCCCCCAATTTCTGCTTGATTTATAGAATGTAATTATTGTAATCTACTCGGATGTTGATAAAACCCTAATTCTACTTTTTTTGGGTTGTTTAGCTTTACTTATTAACCGACGTTTTTAGCTGCGAAGTAGCGGCCCTGATCTACTTTCCTTGGATTTGAAGATCCAAATCAGCTGCCATTTTCTTCCGTGCTGGAGTGATGGCCTGCCTGCATGTTAAATTCAGAGTTCCCCCAATATGACTGTGTTTATGCCCCAATCGATCAAAGCTTTTTGGTTTTACAGTGCTCCTCTTTAATTATTTCGGTGTTAGCTAGTCTCCCAGTGGAACACGATATTCGGCTTCGAGGTATGCTTATTGGTTGCAATTACATCGATTACCCAGTGTAAGGTTTTTCTGTTCTTGTCTATTTGTGAAGATTTCTTACCTGATTTCTCCTTCTGGGGTACAATTACACTGGGGGGTCCTGATGATCTTATGATTATAAGCCTTAATCTTTAGCTTACATATGCATACTTTACGACCTGAAAATTACACAATTATTGGGGTTTTTTGTTCCTTTGGTCAAATGTTATAGTATAATTGATGTTCTTGATTGGTGTATATAATAATTCTATGATAGATTTCTATGTATATTTTATCTATAATTTAAAAAGCATCATTTACAATTCTTTGATAGCACATTCATGAATATAAACAACAAACACGTCAAAACCCCTAACTAATTAAATCAAATATGTTTTCAAGGAGTTGTGTTGGCCACTTAAGATATTTGTAAAGATAGAATCCATAAAAACAAGTTTTTTAGCGAATTGAAGTGTCATGAAAGCAGACTCTTGAAATGTGTTCTGATAATAAGTTTAAGGTTAAATTCTCTATTAGACATGCCATATTTTCAACGGATTTGTATGTGTGACACATCTTAATTGATTAAATTATTATCATTCTTATTCTTATCATGTTGAAATTATTTGTGATCTACCTGAAGAGATCGGAGACTATCACAGTTTACATTCTTACCATGTCCTGAAGCTCTACCGGTACTGCCAACACAAAAAGTAGACTTTTACACAAAAAGTAGACTTTCATGCAACAAAATTTAGTCAAATCTTCAAGTCTTCGTGGTCAAACTTTTTGGGGTAGAGGACCTGAAAATTGTGGTGACTACAATTCGAGTCCACAAGAAACTGGTTTCTTTTGTGAACATGGTGATTATGGAAGCCATTATGGGAGATTCTTCGTTCAATGGTATTCCCAATTCTTAATAGATCATGCCAATACTATCCTCTCTCTTGCAACCCTAGCATTTGAAAAAATACAGATACTTGTTAAGGTAAATACTTTAGTAAAAATCTTGAAATTTAGTATATGAGATTCAATCATATGAAAATTTTATAAATTTTTTGTCTAGATTCCAGCTGTTTATTGGTGGTATAGATCTAAAAGCCATGCAGCTGAGTTGACAGGTGGATATTATAACCCTGATAACCATGATGGATACTCCAGACTTTTAAGGTTCTTAAGAAACACTCGGTTGCAGTGAAGTTTGTGTGTCCAGGATCGAATCTTAATCTTTCTAGTAAAGAAAATCATGATCCAGAAGGGTTGACTTGGCAGGTTATTTGTTGACTTTTTTTTATCTTTAGAATGATGGTATAGAATCTTTATTGATTTTGATTTTTACAGGTATTGAATTCAACTTGGGAGGAAGGTTTATGTGTAGCTGGTGAAAATGTGTTTCCATGTTTTGATAAGGAAGTGTTGATGATATTACTTGAGACTGCAAAACCGAGTAATGATCCGGATCATCATCATTTTGTGTTTTTTAATTATAAACCACCACTTCCCATTTTGCCCTTGCTTGATACAACATTATGCTTCTCAGAACTTGACCAGTTCGTTAGATTCATGCATGGTACATACATGGGACAAAACTCATAAAGACCGAAGTACCCTTTGCGGGATTGTCCCTAAAACGCGGGAGACTACAGAATGATTTTTCAGCACTCACGTCATCTGTCGATTCTATCATCTCACGACGTTGGTATCCCCTTCAGGCGGTTTCTCCGGTCAGTGGCTCACTGCTTAACACTTAGGTACAATTTGATTCTGATTCGGTATCATTTTTTTCAATATACAATACAATAACAAGTTTTGTAGTTTGTAGTTCATGTGTTGGACAAAATATTCGGTTGTTTTGTCTTTTTTGATTAATGAAATCTCATGTGTTGGACAATAGTTGGGGTCGTAAAGGAGCTCCCCTTGTTGAAAATTGTGTTGCTGGATTTAATAGCTATGTGTTTGCATATGGGCAGGTATAGTTTGTCTTCCTTGTGCTGGCTATAAATGTAATAACTTTCTTTCGTTTTCATGGCTACTTATACTAATTACACACCATAAAAAATTGAGTAGCCTGGGAGTGGAAAGAGCTACACTATATGGGGTCCATCCAATGCATTGTTGGAAGAGGAGTTATATAGTGATCAACAAGGATTGACACCTCGTGTGTTTGAAAGTCTATTTTTTCGCATGAATGAGGTGAGATTGTATGTTAAGTCTATATTGATATTTACCTTGATGTTCGCTTAAATCTTTCCTCATGCATTAAAGGCAATTTTATAGGAACAAAATAAACATGCTGACAAGCAACTCATGTATCAATGTTGCAGTTTGTATAAACAAGGTTTTTACCTTTTCTTTTAATAATGAAGTTGGTCGTATTAATGCTTATTATAATTGTACATTTTATTTTGACGCATTACCTTGTAATGGTATATATGAAACTGTGATGGTTGTAGATAACCTAGGAAATAATGTGTTGAATATTGATTCGTCCAATGTTTTGGACAAGGCATGCTTGTGGCATTGTCGACTTGGACATGTCAACAATAAGCGCATAGGCCAACTCCAAAAGGCTGGAGTCTTGGAGTCATTCGACTTGATGTCGGATGACACTTGTGAATCTTGTTTGCTTGGAAAGATGACCAAGTCACCCTTCACTGGTACTTGTGAAAGGGGTGAAGGTTTTGGATCTCATACACACTGATGTGTGTGGACCCTTCAGAACCGCCACAAGGGATGCTAACCGCTTCTATGTGACTTTTACTGATGATTACAGCAGATATGGCTATATCTACTTAATCAAGCATAAGTCAGAAACCTTTGAAAAGTTCAAAGAGTTTAAGCAAGAAGTGGAGAATCAATTGGGCAGGAAGATAAAGATGTTGCGATCCGATCGAGGAGGAGAGTATCTTAGTATCGAGTTCCTAGATTATCTTAAGGAATGTGGAATACTTTCACAGTTGACGCCACCCAGGACACTGCAGTTGAATGATGTGGCTGAGAGGCGCAATCGAACCTTTTTGGACATGGTTCGTTCTATGATGAGTCGAGCTTCGTTACCTATCTCATTCTGGGGGTATGCCTTAGAGACTGCCGCCCATATCCTTAATCTAGTCCTTACTAAGAAGTTTGCCAAAACACCTCACGACATGTAGACAAGGAAGGTTCCCTTGTTGGATCACATCAAATTTTGGGGTTGCGAGGCTTTTGTGAGAAAAGAAACTCACGACAAGCTCGAACCTCGTAGGGAGCGATGTATTTTCATCGGCTACCAACACAAATCATTTGGATATCTCTTCTATAGACCGAGTGACAATGTTGTCTTCGTTGCGAGGAAAGGAGTCTTTCGATTGAGAGAGAGAGAGAGAGAGAGAGAGAGAGAACTCATATGCCAAGAGGACGGTGAGAGGCAAATTGACCTTGAAGGGCGTCAAGAGTTAAGTGATGAAGGAACCTCAAACACTGGCGATCAACCCGAGGAGGAAACTCCTGTTGAACCGATTGACCAGTCCGTACCTCTGAGACGTTCCAGTAGAGTTAGTGTTCCACCTATGTTATATGGTTTGCATATAACATCTGAGGGTGATACATTTATCAGTGATAGCACACTGATAAATCTGGATGAACCTAACAACTACAAGGAAGCCATGGCAGGCCCCGAGTCTGCTAAATGGAAAGAGGCAATGGACAGCGAGATTCAGTCCATGTATGACAATCAAGTTTGGAACTTGGTTGACAATGTATCGGGTCGTAAGACATTCGGGTGCAAATGGATCTTCAAGAAGAAGACCGAAATGGATGGGAAAGTACACACATATAAGGCGTGACTGGTTGCGAAAGGATCTACTCAAACTCAGGGGAGTTGACTATGATGAGACCTTCTCACCAGTAGCGAAGATTAAATCTATAAGGGTTATGCTAGCCATAACTGCATTTGATGACTATGAAATATGGCAAATGGATGTCAAAACCGCTTTTCTTAATGGAAAGTTGGTTGAAGATGTTTACATGTGTCAGCCAGAGGGTTTTTTCAATGCAAAGTACCCTAATAGAGTGTGTAAGCTTGAGAAATCCATCTATTGATTGAACAAGCATCTCGCAGATGGAATCTTTGTTTCGATGAGAAAGTCAAAGAGTTTGGATTTTCGAGAAGCGAGCATGAGTCCTACGTATATGTCAAAGCCAGTGGGAGTATAGTTAGCTTTCTGGTTTTGTATGTGGATGACATACTTCTCATAGGAAACGACATTCCAACCTTGCAGGAAATTAAGTCCTTGCTTGGGAAGTGTTTCTCTATGAAGGACCTTGGAGAAGCTGCCTATATTCTAGGGATAAGGATATTGAGAAACAGGAGTAAAAGACTAATAGGACTTAGTCAAAGTACCTACTTGGACAAGGTGTTGAAACGTTTCAGCATGGAGAACTCCAATAAAGGTGACTTACCTATCCAAAGCAATACCAAACTGAGTAAGACTCAAAGTCTGAGTATAGAGGCTGAGTTAGCGGAGATGACTCGAGTACCATATGCTTCCGCAGTTGGCTCGATCATGTATGCTATGACTTGTACTCGCCCTGATGTGGCCTTTTCTTTGAGCATGGTCAGCAGATATCAAGGGAATCCTGGTAGAGCTCACTGGACTGCAGCTAAGAACATTCTTAAGTACCTGCGGAAGACTAAGGACTGGATTCTTACCCTCGGTGGGAGTGATGACTTAAGAGTGATAGGGTATTGCGCCGTCGGTTTTCAGACCGAAGAAGATAATTTGCGCTCTCATTCGGGCTGGGTGTTTACCCTAAATGGAGGAGCAGTAACATAGAAAAGTTTCAAGCAAGAGATTGTAGTTGATTCAACGTGTGAATCAGATTACATTGCAGCGAGCGAAGCATCGAAAGAGGCGATATGGTTGAAGAACTTTATTAGAGACCTTGGAGTTGTGTCAGCCATAAAGGAGCCTGTGGAGATTTTCTGTAATAATGAAGGGGCGGTTGCCTTAACCAAGGAACCGAGAGATCATGGTATATCCAGGCATATCGACAGAAATTACCATTTCATAAGACATCAAGTAGAAGAAGGACACCTCGTTGTGAAGAGGATATCGTCAGAGGACAACCCACGAGATCCCCTCACGAAGGGACTGAGTAGGGTTAGGCACTTGCATCATGCAAGGGGCATTGGGCTAATGGACGATATTAGTTTTAGTGATTAGATAAATGTTTGAAACTTGTAATAGCTAAACTATAATTGACATCTAATGATTAAATAAAAGGAGTTTTATTTATAAGTAAAGTTGTTGTCTTGTGTCAATTATTTACTATTGTTTCACCTTTGCATGTTTTAACTTCTAGAATAATAAGATTATTCAAACTATCCACAGTCGATCATACATTGGAAGTAGGTTATGATGCTAGACCATCATGAGTTGGCTTGTAGATTGTCTAAGGCGTTAGACATAGCAAAAGTTTGCTACACCATTCATGAGTGCTCCTGAAATAAGATTTGAGCATTGGATTAAACCCACGCTCACCTGAATCACTTCATGGAATTTATCACGAGTGATTGTGAGATGATAATATCATATAATCTTCAAAACAAGATATATGAGTTGTTGACTATGAGTTGTTTGTGCATTGATGATACGAAAAGTGCATCAGTAACTTGATGTTATAAAACGTATCGTTGTGCATGATTTAATGAGTAGTTAGTACAAGCATATAATGTCGAAATTTATCTGTTCCTTTTATCCTAAGGAGGATTAAAAGCGATATCTTGGGCCCCTCGATGATTTGTTTTGACTTATGTGTCGGGCCCGGTCAGAACTAAATTGATGTGTTCAGTTATGTTCTATGTCAGACGAATCGTAAATCGGGAAACAAACTACAGGACAATAAGTATGACTATGTTCCATGTATTTGTCCGCATGACATCTTGAAGAACAGAGGAATATATGATCCCTTATCTAGAGGACGTGTCACTGACTGGGTTAGAGTCGACAGCGGCTTTTGAAAGCTACGATTGCTAATCAGATCCTGAAGTCGCATTGGCAGCTATAGTTATTAGACATATCCAAGTGGGAGACTGTTGTATTAGGTGTCTAAGCCCATAACTATAACTGGGATGTACTTGACCCGATTGTAGCATGGTCCTTTTGGGTTGCCTTCACCAGTGCAATTTGATAGGATGGACTTTTGAGAATAAGGCTATTTGTGATTTATTAATATATTATAAGTATAATATATTAATAGAGAAATCATATTATTTAATTAGTATTGATCAAGAATTTGTTAGGAATTAATTTAGTGATCAAAAGAGACTAATTAAATATATAGGGACTGATTAAGTAAATCAATGATTCTTATAGTGTGGGCCAAAGATCCATGGTTAATTAGGATGGGCTAAACCAACATGGATAGTCCATTGAGGTTTAACCCATGGAGCCTAAGTAATATGAAAGGTCATGGTGCATTAGGGTTTGCATGGATGTAACCCTAGCATTTGTAACACTATAAAAGGACACCCCTAGAGCCAAAATCGGTTGCCACATCATTCTAAGAGTTTGATAATCGATTTTGAGCTAACTAGCTTATTCTATTGTAACATC